TAAAATGAATCTCTCTCCTTTATGACAAAGAGGATGGACAAGCCGCATCCCATTAACAAATTGAGGGTTAGAGGGGTTCTGATTGGGAAGAACTAGCTTTGGAATACATTGGGACTGGATCGAGACTCATTTTCCCTTTTGAATCCCAGCAAGTCTGTTGTCTCCAGTGGTTGCATTGATTGTTGAACTATTGGGTTTTCTGTTCATAGGAATTTGAATAATATCTATATTCATCCTTGATCTCTTATGTTCTCTTACAAATTCAGCCAAATCTCTATTTAATCAGATTTTAATAAACAACTTCTTCAGTTACGTACTTACTGTGTCAATGGTGGTCAAAATGTTTTGTGTTAACCTTAGGTGGATGTTTAGGGTGTTATGTCTACTTGGCTGTTCACAAGTTAGTATGTTGTCTTTACCCTTCTGCCCTAGAATCTAGATTGCACGCCTCTTGTGAAAAAAATAATGATGTTTTAAAATTTGGAGTTTAAAATGAAGCAATCCACTTTCTGTGCAATCTTATTACACCAGTCCTTTTGCTTTTAGTTCATATTTGAACATAGCATTACCAGATGTTAAATTTTCAATCTTGATTTGATGAAACTTTTTGGTTCAACTCTTTCTCGAAGTTATTTGATCATTATTTCCTACAAATATACTTGATTGATGATGTTGTCTTATGTTTTAATGTTTTGCAGATCATGGATTTCAATCAGAGAATTCCTTACAAACTGTTTGGATACACACAAAAAACTCTTGAATTGGAATTCTGTTTCCAATTCAATTTCCATGTTTTATGTTTGAAATGATCAAAAGGTTGAAAATGACCTCTATTTTGGCCTAAGTTTTGGGATTACAATTCCTATCAAAAGAAGGGGTGAACAAATACACCCGCAAATCGACTCACCCGCCCAACCCGACTCAACCCACCCATATTTATTGCTAAAACGAAGGTTTTGGGTTGGGTGAGGGTTTTCTTTTGTACAACCCGCCTCTTTTGGGTTGGGTTTGGATTTTGGAGTACATAACCCGTAGAACCCGACCCGACCCAACCCGTGTTCCAATAATTGGAATGAGTTCGTATCCAAAAAAGATTTATTTCGTATACAGCCATACTTATGAGAAAATTAAGATATTTCGCCATGTTTTTCTCTCATGGTCTTCCTAATCTAATGCATTCTTCGGCTTAAAGTATAGACACAAATTTAATATAGCTATGATTCATGTAATCCTTTTTTCTTGTGTACAATTTTAATGGAATAACATATTATGGATGCGTTCGTTCAGAACCTTTTTAGCCTATTTCAACAAATGTCGTGAAAAAAAACTAGACATATGTTGAAGTAAATCACATTTTATTAAAATTCAAACAACGTTTGTGAATTTTTATACTTTTCCCCTCGGTTTATTCGTTTGAAATTATAATTAGTTATAAAATATTTTTATGGTGTAGAATAATTACCTATTTTGTGTTGGATTTTTACTTAAAAATATTGCCAACCCGACCCAACCCAATTAGAAATAAACCGTAGGGTTTAAATTTTTTTGGGTGGATTTGGGTTTAATATTTTCCAAACCGTAATGCATGAATCGGGTGATTAAAATGGCTAAACCCGAACCAGCCGACCCATGTACACCCCTAATCAAAAATGAAAGGAATAGGGTTTATGGAGATGAAATTAGTGGGTCCCTTCCACATTTTATATTATTTTATTACCCACTATCATTTTACTCTCTTTCTCAAGGTTATCAACTCATCGGCTGACCCGGACCCGGTCGAGCTAGTGGGTCAAGAGTTAATGAGTCACCCATTTTAGCCCGGAAATATGAAAAGAATAATTATATTGTACTTATCCGGATAAATTATATCAAATCTCATCTAACATATGAGTTATAACATATAATATTACACCAAAATAACATGTCGTACTTAAATTCAACATATAGTGAAAATTCACACACACTTATATAACATCAATATTCAAATGTTCAACTTAGGATTCCAAAGATTGAGTTAGGCGAAAAGAAAAATCGGAAAATAGGCGCATTTCGCAAACAAACAAAAATGACACAATTTGACCTCCAACCCGTTACCTTGTAGCGGTCGATCCGGCGGGTGCGTGTGGCCCTTTTTTTTACCGGACCATGGTCAAAGTGGGTCGACCCGTGAGTTGACAACCTTGCTCTTTCTCTATCATTCATATTTCATTTCCCACGGTAAAACAAACAATTACATTATTAATTATTGTTAAAAATGCAATTCATTTGCATAGTTGTAGGAATTATACCAAACACTAGAATTGGAAATGGAACTCTATAAAAATAAAAACGGAATGTAATTCCATTTACATTTCTTCTAAAAATGTATCCAAACATACTGTTAATGTGAAGGATGCTCACCTTTTGGCTCGATAGAGGATCGTGTATGCATTTGTTTCTTGTTTCAATTATATATACTTGTTTATTCTAAGGACACTAGGTAAACTGTATTAAATTGAAAAATTAATAACATTGATTCTAGATTCATTTGATGCACGTAGGGTTCTCAAAATCAATAGGAGTGTGAAGATTAATAAATAGTTCACCTTAGACTCTTTCTTTGTTACATGTGAGTGTAAATACTTTTGATTTTCGACTTTGGTTGGTTTATATAGTGTAAACTCTTGTTATCTTTTCGTCTGGGTAATACAAGTGAACTATTGCAATTTTTTTTAATTTCATAGAACTTTTTTCGCCCAAACTATCAATGAATTTTTTGTATATTAAATATATTCTTTTGAAATGATACTCTATGTACAGACTCATTCTGATTTGACTCCAAACAAAAAATACTCGACTTGTCAGCGTACAATTTTGAGAAATTGAGAATTGTGAGACCGGACAACGAATACATGATATAATATGATGTAAAATAAATAAAAAAATTCACCTGCTAACGGGCCGATTCAAAAGCTAGTTATTCATCTAAAATCCTACCCTCCAAATGGCCCCTAGTTATCTAGAAAATCTTATTGATGGGTAGCACAAGCAAGTATTGGGGTTAATTCCCAAAATATTGTTTTTTTAATTTATCCTGAATATAGCCTTTTAAAAAGTATACACAGAAATATTGTGTTCTGAAGGTAGGATAAGGCGAATCCGCGTGGGCAGCGAAAATAGCCATACCCTATGGGAACCCGCCCCAGACTCAAGCGGATCTGCTAGTGATAAAACGTGAATCCGCCCCAGTCTTAAGCGGATGCGTTTGGTGATATTAATATGATTTTCTCTGTCTTAAACCAACCCCCCACCCCCCCTCAAACGACGACCCAAAAACCAAAAACCCTCTTCGTTCTTTCCCTCTTCTCACGCGGATCCGCAGAATCAGCTCCCCTTCCTCCATTTTTTCACGCGATTCCGCAATGCCTTCCTCCTCCCTTCTATTGCCTTGCGCGGAACAGACCAACCCAATAGATCTTATGGCAGACTCCGACCATTCCGGCGAAGAGAAAGCAGGAGGAAGAAGGGTTCGTGGAAGAGGGCGGCATACATGCGACAATGGCAACAATGGTGGTGGTCGATACCGAGGTAAGAAATCTCACCGACGACGGCCGGAATCTCGCTGGCGGCGAGTTTTTTATTTTTTGTTTTTTGTTTTTCAGTTCCTAGGATAATCGACACTTATTCCACGAGACGACCACCTACGAAAATTGATCTAGTTTCGGTGGATTCGGTACTTCTTTGGGCACATGGTCAACATCGTGCCTACTCAAGTTGAGTCGTACTGCTACACAAATGTATCAACTTAGCCTTTCTCACAGTTCATTTGCTTCCAACATCTTGACATCCAAATTGCATCATCCAAGCACAATTGTCATCCTTGTGCTTTAAGCATTTGACCTTCCATATTGAAGGTGTCGACTCCACCACGAAATACTGAAAGTTACGTTGTAGTGCGTTATATTTAATCACCATTTGTGCAGTTTGTTTGGAGTGAAATATCTGTCCCTTGTAGAATTCTCCTTCGAAACCAACAAAAATAGGCATGTGAATTACGCCATATGAATCAGCATATGACAATTCATCGTCCTCTTTATTACCCTGCAAGTAAAAATCTAGAGGATAATTTGGCTCTTCTTCTTCTTCTTCTTCTTCTTCTTCTTCCTCATCCTCCTCATCTTCCTCCTATCCGTCATCATAGTCATGATCAAATGGCACACTCCATGTATCATCATCTTCTCTCTGACCCTGACTAATCTCAGCACCAAAACAATAAGGATTTTGTGCCATAAAATTGAAATGCACATCTATGTTATCATCATCCACATAGGAATCACATAATGTAATAAAGCACCACTTCCATCTGGAAATTTGTAAGTGAAACCTGTGATCATATCACTATCTTGTACTACATCGTCATGACGTCATATCCTCAGAACTAGATTCTCACAAAATTGGTGATATGTCACCCTGCATGAAACTGTCAACTAAAAGCTTCTACCACCAACGAAATGGACGCCCAAATTGTCCTCTACTTTCTCCGATTTCCCCCGAACGATTAGTTCAAATCGTCTAAAATAACTACATAAAAATAAATTCACTAATTACTAGCTAAATAAAATCATAATAATAGAATTTAAGAATATAATTAAAAAATAAATGTGTCTCTTACCTATTAGCCATCTTTGCAGCAACCAGCAGAGCTCTTCTTTGTTTAACTTTGTAGCATATGTTTTTTGTGGTGAGCAATACTGAAAACGCAACCCGCTTATTTATATGTGCGGGGCAAGGCGAGGGGAAAAGCGGATTCGCCCCCAACCTACGTGTATTCGCATTTCGAGAAAAGAAAAAGCAAAACCCGAATTCGACTGAGACTGGCGTGGGTCCACAATGTTGATGGGCGCATCCGCTTGAGTCTGGGGTTGGCGTATGGTATGACCATTTTCGCTGCTCACACGAATTCGCCTCTCGGGCTTTCAAAACACAATATCCTATAAATTAAAAGTGGTAAATTAAAAAATAATATCTTGGGAATTAACCCAATATTAACTAGTGAAGACTGAAAGAGTCACAAATCACAACTACAGAACTACTCATCGATTGACGCAAGTACCCTTGCTAATGTTTGAAAATTGCAAATATGGAACTGGGCGCCACGCAGATACGAGACGAGGCGAGAGCGAGTGAGCTCCCAATCTGTGTGTGAACTCCCCAGTTGGGGAAAGACGGAGCAATAGCGAAAAACCCCTAATCCCCCCAAACTAAATCCCTAGGTTTTCTCCTCTTCTAGCAGCAGCAGCAGCAACCGGCGGCCGGTAAACCGTCGGAAGGAAGGTGAGATGGATCAGCCTGGAGATCACGAGTATGACCAGGAGCACGAGGAAGAAGAGGTTTACGGCGGCGAAATTCCTTATGAGGGAGACATGGAAGACGACGTCGACATGTCTTCCAGACCTGAAGAGGACGAGAACACTGAGCGCAGTGCCAAGGTCTGTGCTAAAATATCTTTCTCACAGTCTGGCTCTCTCCTTTTCCGCGTTTGCTCTCCCGGGATTTGGGGGGATTTGAAGTTTGTTTCCGTTCTTGGCGGCGGTAGCTTATTTGTTTTCCTGATTGGCAGGAATTGGAGGACATGAAGAAGAGGCTGAAAGAGATCGAAGAAGAAGCTGGTGCTCTTCGTGAAATGCAGGCTAAGGTCGAGAAAGAGATGGGCGCTGTCCAAGGTATATTTATAACATATATCTTGTTCTCATACGAGCGTAGAAAACTATAGCTGCTCAGTTGGATTCTCATTGCAATATCTGTTATTCCTGCCTCTACATGTTGATATTTTGCTAGAGCTTGGTCCCGAACTTAGTTTTTACACGAATTAGGGTAGCCTTGAGCTCTAGGAGTAGAAGTGGAAGTAGAAAGTTAAGTTTTTTATATATCAATATCACCGATGCTTTCCAGTTTTGCATTATGTTAGGTCCTATCCTGCATGTGATCCGCATTCTTACGAACTTTTGTACTTTTTGCTGGCTATGTTTAATCTCTACCTTTTCTTCTCTCTTTGTGTTTGCGAAGACTCCTCGGGTACTTCTGCATCTCTGGCTGAAAAGGAGGAAGTGGACGCCCGCTCAATCTATGTTGGCAATGTAAGGTTCACTACTCTTTTTCCCGTGGTTGTTTTTTGTGGAATGGCTCTGCATCTATATGCTTCCCCATGTTGAAAATTGGTATTCTGTAACGGCTGGGCTTGGCAATCTGTTCTGACACATATTGTTTATTTCTCTTGGTTGTATTCTCTACAGGTAGATTACGCTTGCACTCCAGAAGAAGTTCAGCAGCATTTTCAGTCTTGCGGAACTGTCAATAGAGTGACAATTTTGACAGACAAGTTTGGTCAACCTAAGGGTTTTGCATATGTCGAGTTTGTGGAAGTGGATGCTGTGCAGAATGCCCTCCTGCTAAATGAATCTGAACTGCATGGGCGTCAATTAAAGGTTATTTTGGAAGTTTTGTTCAAGCTGTCAATTGAATATGTTAACCTGCTTCTTTTATGGTTCTCATTGTTTTAGTATTACGTTCAGGTCTCTGCTAAGAGAACAAATATTCCTGGCATGAAGCAGTTCCGTGGAAGGCGGCCCAACCCTTTTTTCAGATCCCGAAGGCCTTTCATGCCTGTTCCCTTCTATCAACCATATGGGTACGGGTGAGTGTTGTGTATGTCATTATTCCTTTACTGATGCACAAATCTGCTATTTCGAGCTGATTCCCATAAAAGCTCAGCCAGTGGAGCCCCCAGGTCATTGTTGGTTTGGGGCAAGTTGTGTCTGATGCCCCTATTGTAGGGGTTTCCATCTTATATGTTTTGGCTTGGCTTATATCTGTTTGATCCGTCATTTATTAGAGGAGCTTGTTTGGATTTTTACTGCCCTTTTTTCCTACTTCTTTTAGTATTTGAAGGTCCTGTTATTTTAGTTTTAGGGGTCACTGATAATAGTTAAGATGTTGTAAGTTGTTTCGTCTAGTTACTCCAGACACATATTAGGCTGGTTTGAAGAGCCTTCCTCTAGTATCTTTCACTCATTTATGCTAGCCACTCTAAGTCCCATAGTGATTGTCCAGAGAAGGGGAACCTATCCACGGTATATACTGATCTATGTTTATGTTAAACCAGACTCAAGTATTGATTCAGCGAGACACTAAATGCCCGTGGTGAAACTTCTGAGTCATACATCACTTGTTGTTCTGCCATAGGACACATTTGACAGGATGGGCTACAATTGACTTTACTGGGAAATGAGTTAGTTTTTGGAATTGTTGCTTCTTTTCTGAGGTGACTTTCAGGTTTACCGTTAGGCATGTGAGATGCTTCTTTGTTTCACTTGTAACCCCCTGTATCCTGTCTTCAATACTTTCATCTTTCCTGCTATGGGGAAGTTTACTGAAACCAAATGCAAATCTTGACAGGAGGGTTCCCAGATTCAGGCGGCCAACACGGTACAGACCATACTGATGCCCCGGTTATGGGTGGTGGTGTGGCCTATGCTCACGGGGGAAAGAAAAAGGAGTAGAGTTTGCGTTGGTGATTCTGTAACTGGCCTTCAGATAATATTTCTATCGCTGGGAGCTCGCTATGGATGGATAAGAGATTTTGCATTCATAATTTGAGGTGGTGGGGAATGGCCCATCTCTCTGTTTTGATATAATGGAGCTCGGGGAGGAGATTTAAGTGAGATCAATCTATCTCTTTGTGCTGGAGAGGGCTAGTTGAGAAGTGCCAGAAGGGGTAGAGTAATGCTGTGACCATTTCCTATATTTCTGTTTTAGAGGATTCTCAACGAGTTTGGATATTGGATTCGAGAGATGGATGTGCTTGTTTCCAGATGTTAACATTTTATACTCCCGCTTCGTTTCTCTCTTCTGCAGTCATGTTTCCAGATGTTAACATTTTAGCTAATGTCTTCTGCGGTGACTCTTTGTATCGGACCTCAAAATTCACGCATAGTCATGGAAGTTGGATCGATTCAATGAGTTTCCTATCATGTGATACGTAAGGAATTTTCAAAATGCATCTCATAGTGGTCACAATTCACAAATGTATTGAAGTTTATAGAATTCATTGTGAAAAACCCTGTACGGTAGAAGTAATATACAGTTGTTTTGATTGCTGCAAACACCTCTATCTCTTTATCAATTAATCAAAACGTGGTAGACACACCTTAATTGACTTGTACAAAAGCAATTACCTAGCAAGTGAGCTCAGCTTTTGTAACTGAGCACGACCCAATGTTCATAGCAAACGAAGAGTGAAACTTAAGAACAAGTTGGCATGTTAGTGCTCCAGCGTCATTGTGGCTCTGAGGAGCATAATTGTTGAAGTGGATTCAAGGTAGAGCTCAACTTGTTTGTGTGTGGTGCCCCGGCCCCAAGCTATATCCAATCTCTTGGATGCACAAATAAGTTTTTTTTTTTTTTTTGTGTGTGTGGAATGAAGAAAGCAATGAGTTTGGTAACTCAAAAATGGGTTCGTAAGTATATAGATAACAACTCTAAATCTCTTGACGAAAACCCGTTGTATTAGAGTATCAAAGGATGTCAATGAACAATTTTTATAGTTCGGATTAAACCAATTAGTCTATAGGATTAGATAGTACACATGAATTAAGTATATGTACTAATATGAATTAAAGTATATGTACTAATATTTTTCGCTCTCTCTTCTTCCTCTGTATAGAACTCTGTATATAATCAACAGAACTCAACTGATTCTTTACTTTTTTCGCACTAATAATTCTTCGTCAATAATAAATTATTCTTTATTGACTTTTGCAATACAGAAGGAACCATTCACAAAACCACTTGTGTCATACATCTCAACATAATGGTATTTTACCTTTGTGGAAAGGAACATTAGAGACATCCACTGTGGATTCTTTCAACCATGCATGTGTATCATAACGCAACAAGTCTAAAGAAACTCTATGGTATCTTTGCTATACAATGTCTTCCCCTTTTGATTTCCTTGGATCAACATAGTTTAGATTTTCTTTTCAATTTCTTTATTTAGTTATCATTGTAAAATCAATGGAAACTTCAACCCCACATGAACCTCAACCCCCACACTCGTTTTAAAGCACCATAGAACACGCTCTTCGCTACCTGAGTAAGTGGTTGTGAGAGGCCCTAGGAAAATAAGATACTAGTTGACAACCAGGTAAATTTGACTATGTTCTACAATGGATCAGTTACTCTGATGCCTCTTGGGCGTCTTGTCCTCAGGATTGCAAATTTATTACATGATTTGATGTTTATGCGTTTCCAATTCAGTGTCTTGATCAAGTCACAAGCATAAATTTGTTGCTCGCTCCTCTATTGAATGTGAATATCAGACTCTTGCCACTCTTTTTTCAAACAGAATTTGGATACACTCATTAGTTACTAGGTTAGGTCATCCTCTACCCTTGCCTCCAGTGTTATGGTGTGACAATCTTGGCGCTACATATCTTGCCCATAGGCTGGTCTTTCACAATCACTCCAAGCACATGAGAATTGAGTTACAGTTTGTTCGTGGTCTAGTAAGGGTCACCTTCTCACCAAGTCACTTCATTGGCTTCCCATGAAATGTTTTTGCTCAGGTTCCACCTATCCGAGGCTTCACTTGGGCGCTTGTGATGAATAAAAACTATCCCACATTATCTCACATTTTTTTTTTTACTTTTGCTTTATGTCACACATGTACCATTATTAGGGATGACAAATTACCCACCCATGGGTAATTATACCCAAACCCAAGTAGACCCATTGATAATGGGTTGGGCATGGGTGAAGTGCATATGGATTTGGGGGTTTATAGATGGGTTTGGAGCTTCCATAATCTAAATGGGTATAGGTTGGATATGGATATCCATTTACTTGAGGGTATTTTAACTACACATGCAAAAATTGGACCTATTTGCAAAACTTGAAAAGTTTAGGTACCAAAATGTAAGACCAAAAAAATTTGGGTACCAAAACATAATTTTCCATCGATATTTTGAGGACTTATATGCAAAAAAAATTAAATTTAGGTACTAAATATGCATGTCTATTAAGTTTGGGTACCAAACTGTAATTTGTATTTGGGCATGGGTACAAATCCATTTGATATAAACCCAACTCAACCCAAAGTAAATGGATATGGGTACAAACCCATCAAACTCTACCCATATCCATCTATTTGAATTTCATACCCAACCCAATTGAGTTGGATAGTAAGAAACCCATGAGTATGGGTAAAGTTGCCATCCCTAACCATTATTCCCTCTTTTGTTCCTTCATTCCCATAGTACACTTTGTTCTTCATGTACTGCAGAATAAAATAATTAAGAACATACAAAATGGGTTTCCCGCATCTATTTGTTCAACTATAAATTTAAAACTTACTTTATTGCAAGTTTGGCGCAGGGAGGTGGGCATGTAGCTTTTGTTTCGGTTAATTGCATCGTTGGTCACTGAGATTACGAAAAACGTTCATGTTTGGTCACTCAAATATTTAAATCCATTCATGGTCACTACATTTAGTAAAACAATACAAATTTGGTCACTCTCCGTCCAACTCCGTTAACTTTGTCTGATGTGGCAGTCAACTCTCATAGTTGACCGTTAAATGTATGACGTAACAATTAAAAAAATAAAAAATAATAAAAATTGAAATTTCCACCTCTAGGTATGTCTTATTTTGAGAGAGCTTACTGCCCAAGAAGAGGTCGAGAAATCATTACTTCGAAAGAGTGCACACAGGTTCCTCTAGTACCACCCCTTTAAACATCCTACAAAGAACCTCATGACTTATAATTAAATTCGTTGCCGGAGCACTTAGAATATGCCTACTTAGCAAAAGGTGAAAAGTTACCTGGTATCATAAACGCTTCTCTAATAGCCATGCATAAGAAGACTATTTCATGGAAGATTATCGACATGCAAGGGATCGATCCCTCCTTCTGCATGCACAAGATATTGACAAAGATGGACGGAGAGTAACAGAGAGTGACTAAATATGATATGTTTCAGTAATTTGAGTGACCAGAATTGATATCAATTTTATCTAGTGACTAAACATGACACATTTTAATAAATCCAGTGACCAAATGTGTCATTAACCTTAAAACAAAATGTAGTAATTTTAAACGAAATTAAAATACAGTAAAACATTACAGCTTGCCTTCGCCTTCTCAGGTCCCAGGCCCATGCCAGAGCAGAGGTCGGTCGAGAGAACAAAAACAAAGAAAAATCCAGTCATGGTTGTCATGTCGGGGACATGCCGGCTGGTTGAACCTGTTGTCCCGCTCATGAAACCGACATGACATCACCGATATGACCTGAAATGATCTACTTACGAATTTTAAGCAAAATGACGTCGTTTTAGGAAATTTAACTAATACAAAAGATTAATTCTATGAATTAAAAGGTAAAAGTTGATGTTATTTGTTGGATTGACATTGGATGTCAATGGTTTCATATTTATACATATTTTGTTAAATCTGTATGAACTGACATACATCGATTATACCATTCCACTTGTCAAACAGGGAAAAGTACAAACTACAAACCGGTTTTACAACCCTGAAGCCTGTAAATGTATATGCTTCCTTCTCAACTTTCCACTTCCCATTTCCGCTGTTTCAATCCCGTCTGCGTAATCGCCATTTCCATTCTCGTCCTCTTCACCATCCCCACCTTCAACCTACCAGCCGTCTCTCATTACCAATTCACCATGCGGTAGCATTGTAATTGTTCTTCGCCATTTCTTCTTCTTCGTCATCATCGTGCACTGCCAATAAACAAGTCCAACAAGTAAAGACCATCCCTGTAGCCAGCTCGCTCCAGATGCCTTCTCCACCCGATTCCCCCACTTCGCCTCCTTCCCCGCCTCCCGTCTCCTCAGCCAACGATAACACCAACGCCGAGCGCCGCCTTCGCGAGGCGGAGGAGCGGCTCCGGGAGGCCATCCAGGAGTTACAGCGCCGTCAGCGGAAAGCCGCACGTGGGCTTGCCAATTACCCTCCTTGTGATCACCCACCAGATGAATCCTGCGTCGCTCACGCCATCGGTAATCTCTGCCAGAGCTTTCTCCTCTCCTACGGCGTCCGTGTCGGAATCGGCATCTTGCTTCGCGCTTTCAAGCTCGCTAAGGGACAATCGTACTCGTCCTTGCTCGATCTAAAGGTTTTCTTTCATCCTCTCGTTTCGTTTATTCGCTCCCCCACTGTAATTGCACTCTGATCCACTCATTATCCCATAAATTATGCCGGAATTTGGTATGCAATTGAAGGTTTCTAGTATTTCTTTCTATGTGGAATTTGTGACGGTGGTTGGGATCGACACTGGGTACTGTTATCAGTTCATTTCTGATGCACTGGGAATTTCTCCATTATTGTATACAATTATTGTATTGTGGGGCGGTAGTGTGTGAACTCTGAATAAGCATATGTTTCTGGATGGGCAGCAACTAGTTTCAGAGAAGGATCTGATCGTCAGAGAAGAGGCATGTCGTGTAGGTCTGCTCTTTGGTGGATTCACGGGCTCTTATCATGCACTTAGGTGCTTGTTGAGGAAGTGCAGAAAGAAGGAGACCCCTTGGAACGCGTAAGTACTGGTCTCTCTTTCTTCTGTTTCCTGCAACTCTTGGGGCGGGGAAGGGGCCCTATTCCTTATTTTGTGACATTGTTTAAGGGGATGATTGGAGCAGAATTTTAGCAGGTTCTGCTGCGGGGTTGTCGGTTTTAGCATTGGATGATCCCAACAGTAGGCGTACGCTTGCTCTTTATCTTTTGGCTCGATTAGCTCAGGTGCATGCATATCCCCTGTACTTGAAGTCGTTTCTACTACAGTTGGGTTTTGATCATTTCTTTTCAAGTTGCTGCTAATCGTTCGCTTTCATGCAATCAGTGTGCTTATAATTCTGCTAAATCCAAGAACAAGTTTCACCTTTGGGGTAGCCATTGGAGACACGGAGACACATTGCTCTTTTCCTTGGCGTGTGCGCAGGTGTGTGGCAACAGTTGAATATAACATCCCTTTGAAGTACTAATGTTCAGATTAAGAATCATGCTTCTAGCTTGTTAACACACACTGATCAAATTTTGTGTCATTACTTCTAATGTGGTGGGTTACTTTAGAAATGGTACTGAACTTTTTTCCGGTCTATCCCTCACATCTGATCTTTCCGTTTCTCATATGGTCTTTCTCATTTCCTTGCTGTAGGTTATGTATTCCTTTGTAATGCATCCTGATAGTCTGCCAAAAGCATATCACGACTTCATTCAGAAGACAGGGCCAGTTGCACAGCCAGTCTACAAGGCTGTAAGAGAAACTTGTAGAGGCGGTCCGGTGGACATCGCTGCACTATCTGCTTATTTATCTACAAAGGGAAAGCTGAACCCTCTGAAGTTGGGAGAAGCCCCTGCCATCATCCCTTGCTCTATTATTCATCCGGGTACAGATTCATGTTTAATTCAACACGGTAATGCAGCATCAGCTACATTCAGGAAAACATTTCCCCTCTACTTCTCACTGACTTTTGTACCCTACGTTGTGCTGCACTTGCAGAAGGTACAGTATTTGACTCCATTAACTCTTGCCTTCTCTTTTATGGGTATGTTTGTTTCAACTTGACTTTTTTATAAGTTTTAGTAGAAGTGAAGAAAAAAATGCTTTTTTGGGGGGTTTTAGATAAAGTTGAGTTTGTAAGATAGGAGATGTTTTGTATCGATACAAGATCAATTTATGACATGATATATAATTTCTTTGATGATAAAGAAATTAGTGATTGTTGGGATCATTTGTATATATGAAAGAGTGGATGGTTATCTCACTGGGAAGAAGTTGGATATGAAGATCTATTTGTTGGGTGGCTTACTTTTGAATAATCTGTGAGGTTTAGGGTTAATAATTGTTTTGAAAAGTTAGATAGGAATGTGTGTTGGCTTCTCAGTTCCTTAGTAAACATATTTGTTAGCTAAAACAAACATGCTCATTGTTTTCTGTAAGATCAGTGAACAAGTGTTTCTTATTTGTTTGCTGATGCCATTGACACCCTTTGAAGTTCATGGATGCGCCTGCACGGACATGTTGGCTTGCTCTGAGGGATGCTGTTCGGTCGACAACGTTCTTGTCTGCATTTGTTGGAATTTTTCAGGTGGGCATGTGCTCAAAATTTCTTATGTTGTTCCCCCCCTATATGGTAAATATGATCTCATTAGTTTGTGTTGGATGGTGCTAGAGTGTGATATGCCTGCATCGAAAAGTTGCCGTCAGAGACCACAAGTTGTTGTACTGGGTGGCGGGTGGACTATCGGCACTCTCTGTACTATTTGAGAAAAAGTCTAGACGTGCAGAACTTGCACTGTATGTCCTTCCTCGTTCTGGAGATTCATTGTGGTACATCTTAGTTAACCGCCACCTACTTCCTAAGCTAAAGAATGCGGAGGTAATTGTGATATAACTCGCCTGTGTTGTGTTTTCATCCAGTTAGAAAAAAATAGTTTACTTGAATCAAATTGTTTGAACATGAACACTGGTCTCTCTTACATGTCATCTTTCACCTTACAATCGAGAGATAGATGAGACGAAAGAGGCTTAACCATTGAGAGGAGTTTGCTGCATTTTTCTTATGGTCTGTTAGCTGCACATTCATTCACCCATGGAAGTGATTATCTTGGTAATACAGAATTTTCTATGGCTGATCAAAACATACTGGGTTTGTAATGAATGCAGGTAGCACTGTTTTGCGCTTGCATGGGAGGAATTATGTATTACTTGGAATACGAGCCAGACACAATGGCTCCCTTCCTAAGGGGTTTAATCCGGCGCTTCCTTGCTAGCAGAATCAGCAGTCCAAGCCCTTCACCTCATCCCCGTACATCATCATCGTACACATATTTGCAGGCTATTGATTCAACCAAGAAGTCGAAGTCCCAGGACGGCAAAGAAGTTGAAGCCTCTCATAAATACAATCTTGAGTCTATTCCAGGGCTCTGAAGCCAGCTGCACTCTGGTGTTTTTTCAACCACCAGAAAGTCTCTGGCGGCAATCGGTTCATTCTTTCTACAATTCAACGAGTTAAAAAAAACCCATTTTGTAATGGAGGCAGATTAGGATTTCTGCTTCAACCACCCATTTCACTTTCATCCAGATACTGTTTTAACCCTTTTCCCCGGCTAAAAATTATTCTCCAATCCTCACAATAACAGATTTTCATTTGATGAAGTGAAACTGGAAAAGACACTACCGCAATAATGGGCAGGCAGGTTAAGGATAAACCGTGTCGAGGTTGTATTGAAAAAGTCAAATTTGTGATTTAATCGTGGTTAACCTTTTCATACTATTAAAAACTACCTATTAAGTTTAGGCAAGACGCTCTTCAGGTTGGATTGTGTTATGGTGATTGCGTTACGGTTTTTGTATGTAAATATTTCTCTATGGGGTTGAAATTTGAAGAGTTAACAAATGAGCTTTTATGAACTCATTATTCTCCGTTTTCAGGGTTATAAGTATAATATGTCTCTCTTCTGTGCAATTTTATCAAACATGTCTCTTTACTATTTTTTATATCAAACATGCTCTTTTGTTAAAATTTGCATACAAAAATCACCAACTATGGTCGAACCTTGGGCGACACCTATGTCTAAAATATTCCTAATAATTTCACTTCATAATTATTTTTGTTTCTTTGTATAGCCAAATACCTTTAATAATTTCACCTTGGGCGACACCTATGTCTATAATATTCCTAGTATTTTTGTTTCTTTGTATTGCCAAATACCTTTAATACTTTCAGGTTGACGAGACCTAGAGAAATAAATTAGGAAAAACTGGCATCCTCCTGTTTTGCCGATGCTGGGTCTTGTGAATCTCGGTTCAACTGTGGACTGTGGTTGACCATTTTTTTAATGAAAATTTTGACATAAGTACATGTTTGATAATTTTTTCAAATTTAGAGGTATGTTTTATGTAAAAAAATAGTTGAGTAGCATGGTTGATAAAACGATATAATAGAGTACATATTATACGTACCATTATTAAGAATGAGATTTTGGCAGTTGAAACTTGAAAGTAGAACGGGTACACTGTTACACTTGTCTCTTTTGCGTTTACTTTGACATTTTTTGGGTTTTGATAATTATGCTGTGACCCAAGACCAATTCTGATCAAGCAAGCCGACAGGACATTTATACACATTCAACTCTTTTACTCCTTCATTACGAGCCTGCGTTGATCGAAGCGTGTCAGGCGCAATGGAGAGGGCGCTGATCGAAGCGTGTCAGGCAGGAAACGTCGACGCACTGCACCAACTCCTCCGATCAAACCCCTTTCTTCTCCACTCAACAGCAGCATGTTCTCCACAGCAAAATCCCTTTCACGTTGCCACAATCGCCGGGCACGTCGACTTCACGAGAGAGATGCTGAAGCTGAAGCCAGAGTTCGCCGGCGAAGTGAACGAAGACGGGCTCACCGCCTTGCACTTCGCGGCGGGGAGCGGGCAGCTCGAGATCGTGAGGGAGTTGGTGAAGGTCAACAGGGATTTGTGTCGGGTGGAAGAAGGAAGAGACGGAATGACGGCTCTTCACTGCGCGGCCATGAAAGGCAGGGTGGAGGTTATCGGCGAGATGCTGGCGATCTGTCCCGGATGTGTCGACGATGTGACTGCCCGGCGAGAGACTGCTCTCCACCTGGCGGTGAGGAACAGCCAGTTTGGAGCAGTTAAGGTTTTGACGGATTGGATGGCGGAGAAGAATAAAAGAGAGGCGTTGAATTTCGAGGATGAACAGGGGAACACGGTTCTTCACCTTGCGGCATGGAAGAAACAGAGACCAGTAAGTGTTTTCAATGTTTCTATGGGTTTGGTGTTTGTCAAGTTACAAGTGAGACGATGAATTTCGAAGGAGTAAAAAGTTCGCTTCGGTCCAGGTGATTGAATTGCTCCTGGGAAACAGAACTGCAGGCACTCTAGACGCAAATGCCATGAACCACGCAGGTCTCACGGCGCTAGATTTGATGCTCATGTTCCCAAGTGAGGCAGGCGACAGAGAAATTATTGACATCCTTCAAGCCGCTGGAGCACTGAGAGCCAGCGCCAGAGAGATTCCCACACCCCAACACTCAGCTGATCATACAACCGTAACCATTTCCAACTCGACACTACCAGTGCCACGTCGGCGAACTGCAGAAGCAAAAGAGCTGATAGAGTACTTCAAATTCAAGAAGGGAAGAGACTCTCCGAGCGAAGCCAGAAGTGCACTCTTGGTCATTGCAGTTCTGGTTGCCACTGCAACATTCCAGATCGGCATCAACCCTCCTGGTGGCGTCTGGCAAGACACGCTCGCAGCAGCAGGGAAAAATACCACTGCAAATTATACAAAACCACATAATGCAGGGGATTCCGTTCTGGCTTCAGCAAATCCAGTTGCGTACTCCAAGGTCGTGGTTTTCAACACGATTGGATTCTCCACCGCTCTACTGATGATCAATGTCCTGACAAAGAGATTTCCTTTGCAACTCGAGCTGCAGATATGCATGACGGCAATGTATGTTGCATATAACACATCAATCATCACCATCGCACCAGATGAACTTAAGAAGATTGTTGTCCCATCAATAACAATACTCCCCATCCTCATGGGGTTTTCTGTTCACTGGGCAAGAACAGTTATGTATCGTATTGAACAGCTTGTACAGAGAATGACGCATAGAGTCCCCTGAAGTCTAACATCGAGCACCAACTTTAATCATCGCTGATTTTACAAATTCTGTATGTCTTGTTACCAATCTTGCACTCAATGCCGCTAAATTTACAAGTGAATACCCGCTTCAGTACTGGCCTCCTCGCTTCTTCTTCCACTGCTCTCTTTAAGGAACCACTGATGTCTCCGAATGCCCATGCCAAAGATATGTGTGGCCGTGGATCCTGTAGCCAACAAAATTCAACATCGTATAGTGAAACTCAAAAAGAGGATCGACGTATTAGGGCATTGCTTGCATTCTGCTAAGGGCGTGAACTCAAACCTTATAAAACTGGGGAAGATTGTGTAACCTGTAAACTTCATCAACAGAATGAATTTGTTTCTTGATCTGAAAAGGAAACAGAAGCACATTAGCTAATGTGACAATATGGGAATTAGGAAGGAGGTCCATGGAGCAAGGCAAGAAGATACCTCAGCTAAACCCCCTGTAACCACTTCAATTGAAAGAAAGGTGCGTGTTTGATCATCATTTACAAAAACCTCCCACTTGTTGAAGTCGATCCAGTACCTGCTTCCAATACATTCACTTGTCAAAAAGTTTGAGTCTTTTTCATATGCTTGGGATGGATGAAGGCAAGAAGCAAAAACATCTCACCGTCTGGGAGACTGAAGCTTCTGGCGAAGCATCGAGACCACGGAATCAATCTGATGAACACGAATGGGCACCGTCCTTCCCAGGCTAACATGAAACTCCCTTCCCACAGCAAACTGCTCGAGCTTCTGCTCGTCCTGGCAAAGAATGTTCAAAGGAACATCGGCGTCCACGACGTGGAGGTCCGGTACAAGAGGCGAAAGTTGCTTGAGAAACAACGCAACTTCTTTCTTTGATGCAGGAGGAATATGAACTGGGATGTAGACGTGCACAGCATAGTTTCCTTCCACGTGGGGAAAGCTTCTCAGTCGACTCGGCTGACTGGGTTGGAAGAAATCCGTCGATCCTTCATTGGCAAAAGGTCGAACACCTGGTGAGCAGAAATTCACAGGGAGTAAATTAGAATTTGAAGCCTTTTGATGGTACCAATGGAGTTGGGAGGCGTCAGAAGCGAGACAGGAGGAGGCGGCAGCTTTTTTCTGGCCGTCGATTGTTTATTTGACGCTGGGACCGCATCGGTTCTCGCCGAGAGGGGAACTTCGGAGTCGGAATCCGACGAATCGTCTCCGTAGGACGCGATGAGAGCGTCCATCGATTGAAGTCGTCTCCAATCGTCGCCGGAGACATTTCGTCTTTTGAAGCCCAAAACACCTGAGATATGGGCCGGCAGTGAGCAATGGTTATTGAGACAAAGAAGCCCATTTGCTGATGGGGCCAACCGCTATATATAATGGAATGGGTTAGCCTCACTATTTTTTTTTTTTTTTTGTCACCGTGACTAGGGGTGGGCAACGGGAAACGGGTATTTGGGTATACCTGTACCCGTTCCGTTTTTTGAGGGTTTCGTGTACCCAAATACCCGTAATTTTTACACGGGATGGGACTTGGGATTAAGAATCACCACTTTGAGTACCCGCGGGTAACCCGTTAATACCCATTTGGGTATTACGGGTACCCGTTATACCCATTAGTCCAATATTGTTGTAAGATTGTTGCAAGTGATTCTGTTGCTATTACTTTAGGTTGATGGCAGCTTGACCAAGTGGCAACAGTGCACCTTCATCATAAAATAAATTATTGATTTTGCTAAACTGATTCCCATGTTTACTTCTTTTTCCCCTTACCTTGGTAATGTACTTATGTTGCAAGTTCTTGATGGGCGTACTCCTGCTCGATCATAACGGGGTTGGAGACATTGATCATGGCAATGTTCTCAAAGAGAATCCCTAAGCCACTCCCCGCCTGCGACCCTGGCCATGTCTTCCCCTACTTGCTCTGGCTTCACTTTCAGAAGCTTCAACGAAGATATCTATTCAAGACATAAAAAGAACTATAAGTAATTACGGGTTAATTAATTAAGGGGCCTGATGTGAAGTTGAAAATCACGGACCGACAGAGAAATCGCTCGTGGGAGCTGAGCCCGGAAACTTCCACCAGCCCAGCTTCCTCCAGGCTCAAGAAGCTCTGCCGCAGCTTCTCCTTCGTTCATCCTCCGCCGCATTTTGTCACCGTCGGCCGCCTTCGCCTGGATGTTTGGAGATTACAAGTACCCGAAACTGACAAAAATGGCGGATGGCGGGGGAGATAACTAATAAAGCAGGTGTTGCTGCGGTTTCTTCCACCAATTGAATGGGTATTTAACGGGCAATATGGGTACCCGTTAACCCGTACAGGTTTGGGAATGGGATGAAGATTACTCTCTAAGTGGGATTGGGTACCCGTTTTAAACGGGACGGGTATCCCGTCCCGTCCCTTTGCCCACCCCTAACCGTGACAAATCTCTCAATACGGTGGTAATGGATTGATTTATGAATTGGTAGATTTATGGATTAAATGGATTGGTTGATTCATAGATTGGATCAAATGGATTCATAAATTATTCATGAATCCAAATGACATCCTCAATTTTGGATCAATAAGTAAAATGTGTAACATGTCATAATGAAAATTTTAGGTACCAAAATGTAAATTTTCAATGATAATTTATGTATAAAAATAAAATTTTAGGTACCATAGTGAAAAAAATAAATTTTATAGATACTAAACTGTAATTTGCCAATAATTCATGAATCCACCAATCTAATTGGATTTAGATTAGTTGGGTATTTTTAATGGATTGGTGGATTGGATTTAGAATTGTCACATCTAATGGTCGTCCATTTTTTTATTTTGCTTGAACGACTATGGAGCTATCAAAGTCAACTAGAAGACCAAGGTTTGTTTTCTTATCGATGATTATGCAGATGAAATTGGGTGTGCTGTTGCTCCAATGCATGTTGCCCATCTCTTATTGGGCCATCCATAACAATATGACCGAGGGATTATTCATGATGGAAGACACAATAGCTATCGGTTCAAGAAAGGAGATCGGAAGTTTCTATTGAATCCATTGTCACCGGCTGAAGTCCGAGCATATCAACGACAGATGGAGCTGAATTGGGCAAGGGTAAAGGGCATGCAAGTAGCGGGAAGTCGGAGGACGGAATGGGAAACAATCTTATTGCTCGAAGGCACATAATGATTGCGCTAAGGAGGATTTCATTTGAAAATTTTGTTGATGTTGTCTCTTGTAAAAAAACACAAGTTTTGAGGGCAAAGCTTTTACAACAGGGAGGGACTGATGCCAGTTCGTCCCCGACCGTGAATAGAAGAAGGTACCGGGGAAGCAGTAAGGACCTAGGAATGGAGGCAGAAAGGCGCACAGTCAGGTGGGTTTAAATCCCCGACCGAGGATTTGAGACCGGGTTTCGGGCAAAGGAGTTCAAACTTCCTTTTCGGTTTATGATTTTGGTTCTTTTCATGGTTTTGGTTATTTTATTGCCTTGGACTATATAAAGGGCTTAAATCTTGGTTCCTTGAGCTTTAGACTTGTGAATTGTTCTTTGAGATTGTGGTCAAGATTCTATCCTTTATATTGTTAGAGTCTTATCTCATCTTTGATTTGAGATTGCACTATCAATTCCACCCTATCCCAAAACAAGAAGCAGGCAAATTAATAATAATAACATAGGTGTGTTTCATAACACATTTCGGCATACCAAGCTTACGATATATGATGATGACTTTTGCTACATGAATTGTTGTGACATCCTCATTTATAATCACTTTATCTTTCACTTCCGGTGAGAAGATACATTTACTGATTGTCGTTATCCAAACACCAAATTATATTTTTATAATGGTGTGTCTCGCTGCATTCACTTTTGAGAACATTTTGTTTCATTCGCTTCCGGGAATGAAACCACACCCTTTGGATCAAATTATATAATATTTCTCATCACAAATCCAATACACTTTTCGCCTTTAACAAACAAGAAATTAACTTACACTTTATAAAACCTCTACGATAATATTGCTACTGCAGGAGCACATATTGATTTTCATTTTCCTTCCAATGATTCTTGGACCAATAAACCTTCTTTTCATACATCGGGTACAAGATCAATTATTTTTCCCCACCACAATGACAACTCATATTCTGACATTTTTGTTACTATATCCACTTCTTTCATTTGACTCATTTTTCTTCATTTTTCCACTTTGTTGGAAAATGAGATCTTTAGACTTTCATTTCTTTATATGTCCAATGTAGCAAACGATAAGTCAACCCATAATGATTTTCTACTACAAGAACAATTTTCATTTTTTATAATACAAAAAATATTTTCCATAATATTGATATTGCAGGAGCGTATACGAATTAGCTTTTCCCTTCGATTCTTGGTAGAATAAACTCTTTTGCGTACAACGGATACGAGACAAGCGCATTTTTCCATTGCAATGGTAACATACATAACCAATATTCTTGTTACATGTCCACTTCTTTCTTTGCCCTTCGATTCTTCAATTTCCACTTCTGGGAAATATAAGGGCTCTTGGAACTTGCATTTTCTATTGATATGTAGGATTGATAAGAATAAGATAACACAGAAAACTGAGAAATTAACTCATCACTTATATTACATTTCTTTTTATTGCTACTACATGAGCAAATTTTAATATTCAATAATGTCAAAACACAAAATTAATTTTAAGGAATCAATATATGTATTGTAAAAACACAGAATAATATAAATCAAATCACACAACCCAAAATTTTAATCCAAATAGATGTACGTTATAAAATATCAATGGATGGCCTATTACGAGAAAAGAGTAGCATACATCTTAATATACTGGAATGAGATAATCTTAACACGATAAGATAATAACGTATGAAAGAAGATGAAGATTTGCATACCGCGATAATATTGTGATCTTACTCCAATATATTAGATTATGTAAAGAAACAATGAACAACCATGATTTTAGCAGACTTCGTGCTGATAACGTGTTAATATAAACAACTACAAGAAAAGATTAGAGGGGAAAGACATATGAAAGGGGAGGAGAGTTTTCCTATTCACTCTTCTTATTCATGTGTCTTAGTACATTCATGTGCTCTATTTATAAGCACAAATACATAATTCCTACAACTCTAACATCAATACACATAAATGGGAGTAATGAGTAATTGCCATAATTAGTCACTGAAATTACTAAAAATGTCAAGTTTGGTCACTAGAACCAATTCCATAATCCAAACTACTGCTGAAGTGCGAGAGGACATCACAATGTTTTAATGTGGTCATCCAGTGGCAGAGAGAGCTTGAGGAGGGGGTCCTAGGACCCCACTTAGCGAAAAATTGGGTATTAAAACCCTTTAAATATATGTGTTTTAGTATGATTTTTGAAATATAGGACCTCATACTTTCTTCGATACCATCTTTTATAAGGACCCCAATCAATTCGAAATTTTTAAGAACTACAGTACATCCAAAGTCTAACTACACAATTATGGTTATCTATAATAATAATTGTCAGACTTTGTAGCTACCTGCATATTGACTTTGAAAAAGTAAAAGTAAGGCGTTTCGTAGATTCGCATTCCTTTCAAACTCCTACGAGGTTGCTATTGTCAGTAGTAGTGTGGTAACCTGGAAGTCTGTTCAAATAAATACCTCTACGGTTTACAGGTGGTATTTGTGATTGATGAACGCTTGAGAGTGAAAGAAAACCAAACACAAGGTTAGGCCTGCCACCTTGATATTCTCTGAATGTTCCCGTACAAGCATTAGATATAGTCTCAAACTTACGTAGGCCCTCTGTGTTTGAATATGCAAACCATATAAATGAATTCTCTTTGCAAGTAAGAAACAAGCTCATATCATGCGAGAGAAACAGGTTTAAAATGCAGCTCCCTTTCTCATAGCTCTTATCATTATACTCTAGAATGGCACCGTTGGTTCCGAGCCGTCGAGTAGAGACTAACTTCAGCTCAGTACTTTTGTCTGCCCATTTGGCAGGAACACTTCCAGAAACTGAGGACCGAGAACTCCAGGAGTACATCTGCTCCAGCACCTGAACAGGTGAACATTTTACAATTACCCTGGATTTCCAGATTGCACATCTGCTTCATGCCTGCCATTCGACTGAACAGTATAAATCATTGTGACTTCCAGTCGACTGAACAGTACTTACAACCCTTGTCAGCGTAACTGCCATGTTGTTTCTTTCCAGTCGAGTAAACTGCAGATAGTATGATTTCATCAAGGGCATGTCATGGAATTACGCGCCATTACTCACACTTCCAGAATAGTTGAGGCATCCACCCATATCAGTCGACACACAAAAAGGAAAAAAGAAACCACTTTATTAGTCACATCTTTACAAGATCATTACCTGATTCAGCTCGGCTATTCGACCAGATGGCCATATGAATATACAACATCGTTGCGTGGCACGAGAAGAATATCTTAGTGCAGGCGCAACCGAAAGACCTTACATTACATTACAGGGTTGCATACAAAAGATTGTTTCCTTTCCATGCAAAGCTCACAATTTTAATCAAATGGGTCGATTCGTGGGTCATGCTCGCTCGCCATAGCCATACCAGTGCAGAGGCACGTAGGGCACATTACTTTTCCCGACCCAGAGCAATTAGGGCACCTTTCTGTTTTGGGTGCTGACAGTGGTTTGTCTCCTCCACTACCGACTGTCGTTGAAACCGGTTCAATTAGGACGAGGGTTCCAGTGTTTGAACATCGAGCACAAGCAAGATACCCTAGTAGATTCAATCCAATCATCAGGCTACCTTCAAGCTTGAGCACACATACAAGTTTTCATGGCCAAGGAGTAGAAAGGAATGTCTGTAGAATGGTGAGATAATAACACATACCAGTGCCAATACAATATTTGCATCTCTTGTGCTCCTGCTGCTTCACATTGTTCACTTCAACCACCATCAATGCCGAGATCACTCCAACTGCTCCACCGGAGAACGATGCCACTATCGGATCCACCTGACTGCAACAATTCTCAAAGGTACATGATACTATTAGCACTCAACAAAGTGAAAAGGAGATATCTTTGCAACACTGGATCATATACCTCAACTGCATGGGGAGATGCATACTAGTGATGAAATCGGCATATGTGGTGCCTCCTAATCCCAGCTTCAGCTCCAGCTGAACAAGTTTGAAAAAAGGGAACAAATAATGGATCATCTATCACTCCAACAAGCTTAAGGATATATATAATGTAATAGTTGGGATCTGATGGGATAGTAGAGTTAACTGTCTTACAGTTGGGGCTAAGAGGCCACCAAAGATGATGATCCCAGAGATGAGCGAAAAGCAAGTGCCATAATACACCTTAAGGTTCGCTGCAGTCTGTTGTCATCGCCATATCACAAGCAAGCCAAAGTTAGTCATCTTTCTTACCCTTAATTCATTAACGGGAGAAGAGAGAAAAGGGTGGGTAAAGAGTTTTGATTACCAGAGGAGGCAAGAAGGGGATGAAGGAAGGGAAATCAGGGAGATCACTCTCTGGTTCTTGATCGGAGATTCCAACTTCGGCGCTCTTTATCCTCTGCTGTATCCTCAGCCGTCGAACCTTTTTATCCCACCCCAAGTCCCAACCAACGCCAATTGAAAATCACAACTTTTCCCCCAATTTCATCTGATCAACAATTCTAGAGCTTTGATATTTCAAAGGAGTTTCTTTCTAAAGCTTACCTCCTCCATATGCAGGAAGATTTTGTTCCTGCGGCTCCGAATATTGTCCTGAATCTCTTGCAATTCCATCTTGTCGAAGTCCTGTACCGTTTCCGGCCCTTCTATTATGCAAAATCTGCACCCCAAATTATCAATCCGCCAATCAGGTAAGCAGGCAGTCAACAGTGGTAAGCACAACTCTCCTGTTCAAAATCTGACTCAAACCCATCGCCGGACCACAGTTCAAGAAAGCAAACGGGAATTTACAAGGGAAAAAAAGTACCCAGCAGCAGCAGAGTCCGCGGCGTCAACGGGAGCGGCGGGAGTGGAAGGAAGAGGAGGAGGAGGTGTATTATCGGAGTCCGCCGCCTTGGATCGCCATTTCAATCTCGATTTAGGATCCTTCAGAGTAATTAACCGGCCGGGGCTCCACCGGCGAGGAGCGTTAGTATTAGTGCAGGGGCATCCGGCGGGGTAGGAAACCGCCAGAGCCCGGGCCAAAGAAACCATCTTTGGCCGGCAAAAAAGGGTGGGTTGAAGACAAAGTCTCGAGCTTTTGTTGATTGAGAGGATTGGCCGGGGAGCGAAGTAAAAGAGGAAGTTGGGTTCGGAGTAAGGACAAGGTGAGAGAGCTAAGCTAAGTAAGGAAGTCGCAACCAAGTTAAGAAAGGGGAAGGCGAAATGCTGCGACGACCAAACCAAAGGCCAAAGATCTACTAAATTAATCACCATTCACCAACTTTCTGACAGTGGGTCGACCGCATATGACGCCGATTGTTTTTGGTTACTTTCCAGCATGCCGGCCATTAGCATGTGCTGGTCACGCTACAATTAGGAGCAAGGTTGTCAAACCGGTTTATATTAGTGTGCCGGTTTAGCAAGTGGAATGGTTCACTCATATTTAAACATTACATTTAACATCAATACCTAAACATTTATACTTGAATCCAACAAATAATATCAATATTGAACTTTATACTCATAAAATAAATAATAAAATACTTTTTATCAATTCAATTCACTAAAATAAGGTCATTTTACTTAGAGATTCGTATATCGATCATGCCGGTTATACCGGTGGTTTCACGTCGGTTTTATGACCGGTACCGGTTAAACCCTGTGCAACTGGTGGCACGCCGGCCGGCGTGACAACCATGATTAGGAGTGTACTTGGGTCCTTTTTTTCTTTTTATAGGGAAAGCAGTTGGGAAGAGGTTGTTACTAATAGATTACCGAGAGAGATAGATAAAAGAAAATTTCATCCAAGATTTAATAGTTTATCCATTTTATTCACCTACGCAATAAATAAAAGGGTAAATACAATTTAATATCCAAACTTTTTATTTTAAACAATATAATATCCAAATCGTTAACTTTCCGTTCATTTGACCGTTAGTTGACACTTCAAAAAAGTTTGAAGTACGACGCTTCATCAATATCCATTGATATCTTCTCTGAAAAACCACCAGCAAATCGGGGTTCCAAACCCGAGAAGTCCATGAATTCACCATGATGGTATATGATATCTAAATATTCAGTCATCTGCAATGCCAAAACAAGAAAACAAAGTTGTATTTTACAATTTCCCCTAAACAAAGCTTTTTTGAAGTGTCAACCAACTGTCAAACGGACGGAAAGTTGGGATTTTTTCCAGAAATAGCACCTTTTAAAAAAAAATTACAAAAATAGCACCCATGTAAAAAAAATTCCACTAATAGCACCCTTTTTAATAGAACGCACCTTGTAGATGCGTTTTACATATAAATCGCACCCTACAAATGCGTTTTATAACTAGATCGCACCCTAAAAGTGCGTTCCAAAAATCTGGAATCAAATCGCACCTTAGCCAAGCGATTTTTGTTCTGACCTAGTAAAATCGCATGGCCAAAATGCGATTTAAGTCTGACCTACTAAAATCGCATGCCTGGGGTGCGATCTGTTTCTGGCAGACAAAATCGCACCATGAGGATGCGATTTTAACATGCAAACCGCACCTTAAAGGTGCGGTTTTGGTCAATTAATTTCCGACATGCATGCAGAAGTTACAGACGTGGGTGTGTATGGGCCTGCATGGCAGACGAAAATCGCATCGCTAAGGTGCGGTTTTCATCAAGATTTTGCATATAAAAGGCCTCCCGGACAACCATTTCTCTTCACACCTCTCCTTCTCACTTCCTTGTTAAATTTTCTGTTGTAGCTCTATATTTCTTTAGTAGTTTTGTGATTAACGTTAACTCGTAAGTTGATTTAGTATTACATATTTCTTTAGTAGTTTTGCGATTAACGTTAACTCGCAAGTTGATGTAGCTCTATATTTCTTTAGTAGTTTTGCGATTAACGTTAACTCGTAAGTTGATTTAGTATTACATATTTCTTTAGTAGTTTTGTGATTAACGTTAACTCGTAAGTTGATTTAGTATTACTTTGTATTGTTAATTTTTATTTTTGATTTTTATGATATTAACTTAACTACGGTTTTATCGCATATGGCATTCCAAAAGTTCACGCTTGGCTTACGGTGGAATGGTTACACGGAAGAGACCGGAAAGGGTGCCACCTACGTAGGTGGCAATTTTCAGAAGATAAAGGTCGCTACCAAACCGCTGCTCGAAGACCTCCATCAAATGTGCACTAACGTTACTTGCATGGATGGCACGAGAAAAGTTGATCGTATGGTGTACCGATATCCAAACAGAGAAAGTGGGTCATTGTGGCATGAGGAATATCTCATAACCACTCAGGATGAGGTAGACGCCATGCTCGAATTCATGAGGTCCAACAATCTTTCCAAAGCCGAGATGTTCGTTTACACCGAGCCGGTCGTAGGCGTTGGAGGTCATTCTGGACACGGTCAAACATCTGGTACCCATGGTGGAGGTGAATTATATGGCGATCATCCCTACCAAAGTTACCATGATCCTCATTCATATTTTCAGTACCAAGAGCAAGGTGAAGGTCATCATCAATCATATGAAGAAGAAGTTCAACCGGACCGGCCCAACCAACCTCAGTACAACTTCCTCTCAGGCAGCGGTAGTTTTCACAACTACCATTATGGAGCTGATGAAGGTGCCTTTCATGAGCTGGATCAGATGGAGGATGTCATGCCAGCACCAGTCAGTGACCCATCCGACGAAGAAGGAGTGATCAACGTCAGTGCAGACAGCTCCGACCCTCTTGAAGGTGCCGATGATTCCGGACCAGAGTCAGACTCAGCTAATGATGATGAGGGGGCTCGTGACCGTGTACCAGTCCCCTACTACAATCACATTCCAGACGACAATTGGATGGTCGACAGCGACATGGAGCCGCCAGAGGTCCCAATATGGGGTCCACTCACTGGGTTTATGAAGGGCCAACAATTTGGCTCGAAGAAGGATGTGCGTCACGCCATTGAGACAGAAGCAATGACTCGGCATTTTGAATGGGTCACAACTCATTCAAACACTAAAAGGCTCTTAGTCAGATGCCGTAATCATCACGAGGGGTGCAATGTTAGGATTCGGGCCATCAACAGCAAGAGACACGGTTGCTGGGTCATATCCCGTGCGGTGAACACACACACATGTGTGTCATCCATAACTTCCCAAGGCCATCGACAGTTGAAATCCAGGGTGGTTGCTGCGGCTATCAAGCATCTAATTGAGCAAGAGCCAGACCTAAAGGTGAAAGTCATAATCGCTGACATTGCAAGTCGTTATGGTTATATGATTAACTATAAGAAGGCGTGGCATGGAAAGCAGAAAGCTCTGGCCGCCGTCTTTGGTGATTGGGAAGAATCATATGCATTCCTTCCCAGGTTAATTTTGGCATTGGAGGCGTCTAACCCTGGCACGGTTTTCTCCCCTCGATACCAAGATGAAGAGATACAACCCCCAGAGCCAGGTAACAAGCGCCATTTCAGACGACTTTTCTGGGCATTCAAGCCATGTATTGATGGTTTTGGCTTCTGTGTCCCTGTCATCCAAGTGGATGGAACATTCCTTACCGGCAAGTACAAGGGCACTCTCCTGATTGCCAGTGGGGCGGATGCAAACAGACAAGTCTTTCCTTTAGCCTTCGCCATCGTCGAGGGAGAGAATGCTGATAGCTATGGATGGTTCTTTAGGCAAATTCAGATCCATTGTACTAGGAGGACGAACCTTACAATAATCTCTGATCGGCACGCCGGCATCAGAGCTGCCATCTTAGGTTTAGATCCAGCGTGGAAGTGGTCCCAAAGGTGGTGCATACGACACTTCAAGAGCAACTGGAACCATCATTTCAAGCGGAAGAAGCTTGCTGATAATTTGTGGTGGATTGGTAAGTTTGTAATTAGATGTATAATTTAGTTCCAATTACAATATCTTAGTACTTTTGGCGATACGTGCTCTGGTTAGACTCTTTCTAAAGTGATGCATGCCTAAGGAAATGGGGTTTTAAGCGATTATCATGATCCTCCCATTTCCTGGGAAAATCGGGTTTTAAGCGATCTTCGGATCCCCCCTTTTTCTGTCAAACAGGCTGTGTTTCTAAGGAGATGTATACCTCTCCTAAGAGTATAACGAGAGTACTTTCGGGTTGTTCGAATTTGTGCTAAATTGCCAAAAATTGACTAACTTTGATACTTTTCTGTGTATTCCTCAGCGGTTGCCTATCAAGAGAAAAAATATATGGAGAAGATGCAGAAATTGCGCGAGTTATGCCCTGAAGGGGCACAGTGGTGCACTGGACATGACCTATCCATGTGGACATTTCATAAAGATGGAGGGACAAGATGGGGTATTGCCACAACGAACTCAGGTGAGAGTATCAACTCTGTCTACAAGGCCGTTCGTGCACTGCCAATCTCTGCCATTGTCGAGATGACTTTTTGGAAAACGAATGCATGGTTCGTCAACCGACTCCACTGGGCAAGAACGAACGAGGCACAGGGTAAGGTCCATGCCTATAAAGTCATGGAAGTAATGGAGAATGACAATCGCAAGAGCAGTCGACATAGTGTAACCGTTATGAATCGGGCAAATGGCGAGTATAGCGTGACGACCGGGCATCGGGAGGACGGTAGACGGGGGGGCCACCGCCATGAAGTTGTGGTCAATTTCAGGACAAAAGTTGGTGAGTGCTCCTGCCAGAAGTATCAAGGGAGAGGGTGGCCTTGTTCTCATGCAATGGCCGTAATTAAAAACAGGAGCAAAGACCCACGTCACTTCGTTAGTCCGTTCTACAATATTGACTCACTCAAAAACACATATGGACGGAGTTTCCGTGCATTGCCTGATGAAGTTTATTGGCCGATGTACGAAGGAAAATTGATCATCCCGCCGTTCGGACAGAGGCGTGAGCCGGGTCGCCCGAGGAAAAAGAGAATTCAGAACGAAATGGATCAAAGTGGAAGACCACCACGAGGCCCAAGACGATGTTCAATATGCAAAGTTCCAGGACATGATAAACGAAGATGTCCAGGACCGATTGGTCCGCAAAATGCGGGTCCTGATGTGCCAGACTCAGCTAATGCGACATAGTTTGCTTTGTTAATTTTTTTTCATTCCATTCCCAACTCCAAGCTCCAGCTGGTCATGCCACAAACTCCTTGAATTCGAGCTCAAAGTTTGTACCTCAAGGCATAGTTCTAATGGGATAAAATAAGACCAAATTGAAACAACAATCAATTCGAATAAACTAAGATAATAGGAATAGTTCAAATTACATATAAATTAAATTCAACTCTCATCAATCCGCTCAAGGAAGTCCACGAGCTTCGGTCGATCCCACGGTCTTCTTGCTCCTTGTACGACGACCGACGGGAGTAACAATCGGTGGAGGCGGTGGCAAGTTTCGAACTTGG